TATTAATGGAGTCACACTTTAATGTTTCTTTAGTGGGGATGGACCCATATTTGAACATTTTTAAGAGATTTGTCATAATTTTCATCAATAATTTTATAATTTATACTATATTATAAAGCATTCGATAAATACTCTTAAAAACCATTTTTTTTTATACTTGAACTAGTGTGACTTAAAATTTAAGATTACAAATAAATTTTACTTACAACTTATTAAAGCTTCATTTTTGAATTCGTATAACTAACTACAGATAAACATAAATACATAATCAAATACAAGATAAACATTACATTTTAAATATAAAAAAATCTATAATATAATTAGAATAATCATTGATTTCTGACAGATTCATTATCTTTATAAAAATTATATTGTTAAGTCAAAAATAAATTACGTCACCATTAGACCTAAATTAAGTTATAATAAAAAAATTATAATAAATTAGATTTCCTTCTTGTTGTATACTTTTTTTTCTTAATACTAAAAAATTGATTTGTTTGAAGTTTTTTTGTGTAAAAAAGTCAAAGTTGCATGTTTTTAACTTGACATAGAAATTTTAATTAGGTTTGAAAATTTGCTTAAGAATTAAGATGTCTTTTTCTTGACAATTTTACGTTTCCGTTTTTTATGAATAATTATCATGTATGACAGTCATTCTTCTCTTTTAATTTGAAAAAAAAAATTCTTTGCATTTAACGATATGGTGATTTCCATTTTGTATTTCAACGTATTTAACTGTGATGGAACCAGTATTTTTGTCAAAAGGATACACTTTAAAGGTGAATTGAAGCCCCAAAAGTTGTCCATTATGTTTTTAGTTAAATTCTATTGTTTCGAAGGCTTTTTTTTTTAGTTTTAGTTTATTTGAAGGTATTTTAAAGTTTTTGGTTGACTTAGTAAGACTCTTTCAATTTTTTAGGTTTATTTCGAGAGAACTTTTTCGGTTTTTGATTAATATTCCTTATATTTTATAAATTTTGGAGCTTCTTTCAAAGTTTATCGAGTGCACCTTTAATATCCAAAATTTTCAATTCGCAAAAATAAGTAAACATGTGTATGGGACTCCACTCCGTTCATCAACATAGGTCCACCATTGAATCTTGTTGCATCAATGAATAAGGATTTGAGGTATGTATATTGAATAATCTCTTCAATGACTATCAATAATTTTCACAAAGACTTTTAGTTGATTTAAAACCGTTTTTCAAACGCTTGTCAGCTAAACAAACGAATCAAAATCTGTTATTTTGTTCTATTGGTGTAACTCACCCAAATTTTACACAATATAATAGAATAAGGAGCTTACTAATGTCACTTACCTGGGAGAGGGGAGTCCGGCACACGCATAGGGTCTACAAGAAATAGGGGTCCAAGTTTTTTAGATAGTAATAGTTCAAAAAAGTGGGTAACTAAAAAGATGCAATTTTTTTAATATCTAATATGACCCAAAAAGAATTTAGTATTATATTAAGGGTTCAAACAAGTATTAACTAATTGAGACATGAATATGTAAAAAAGCTGATTGGTTATTCACTTTATAGTATTACTTATTCTTCTATAAGTTATTTATCTAGTAAATTCTAAGATTATTTTGCATTGAAACATTGATATATTCTCCATCATTCATCTACCACTGACTCTTTTGATCATTTTGTTTACATGAATTCGATTTTTATATTAGAATATAACATTTTTCTTGTTATTAACTAAAAAAGTCTATCTTATGAAGATTTTTTTACCAAAATATGAGACGGTCAAACTTGTATTTATATCTAGGATTCCATAGGTACCCGTTTATCTTATATTTTTTTACTTTTTATTACCTAATATTGAGTGTATGAATTTTAAGTATGCTCTTATCTCTAAAAAAAAAATAAGACCTCAAATTATAACTGATATAGGTTTTGAGTCTAAGATTAATTGATGGTTCCTAAGAACCTTAAAAGTTTAAAATGATGATGAAAAACATTAACATGATGTGACACGGAAACTCAACTAACTTATATTGGTTTACATATAGTACTACCCCAAATAGTGATCATCGTGACACCAAATAATTTCAATCTATATATTAAAGATATATCATATAATGTTTTTTATGATGGAATGGATTGACATGCTATGTAAAAATGATATGATGGATAATACTAATTTACAATTAATTATTGATTGATTAGCATCTAAAAATACTCGAAAAACGGTTTTATATAAATTATTAATATTTCTAGAATTCAATATTATTTATGATGATAAAAACAATATATTGATGACGCTTTTTTACATCTCGTACAAAACCTATAAAATGTCAGTAACTAACCCACACTTTTACCTTACTAGGTTGGTCTATTGATATATGATTTGAAGAGTTACAAATGACACACATTAGTGTCCATCGTTATTTTATTAATGTTTCATTTATGGATGCCACTTTTTTTTACCTCCAAATGTAAAGGTCAAGATTGGAGACCTGCTTTTTTGCCATTACAACGAAATAATTGAGAGTAGTAAGTGCATGAAAAATGGAAAAATTAACTTGTGGTTACCAACTATTATATATTTTTTGAAACATAAGCTTTATTATTTAGGGAAAATTACATCAAAATGAAACCAACTTTCACTTTATTCTTATTTTGGAGAACCAACTTTCAAAATTGTCATTTAGGGATCACTATCAAACTTTTTTGTTTATTTAAAGGTCTGGTTGACATGTTAATGCTGACATCATCCAGATCTTTTGTCAACTAAAATATTCCATTTCATATTAATTTTTTATTTTAAAACTAATATTCCACATCATATTTAAAATTACAAAATAATTATAGAAAAATAACTAAATTTTGTTTTTTTTCCAAAAATTATTGTAATAAAATCTATTTTTATTACAAATCTCGTTTTTTTTTATAAAAAATTCAGATATCAAAATGAAGATTTTTTCAAAAATGGACTTCTTTACTCACAATTTGATATCTAATTTTTTTTTTTTAAAAACGAGATTTGGAATGAAAAATAGATTTTATTACAATATTTTTTAAAAAAATATGAATTTTAGGTAATTTTCTATAATTATTTTGCAATTTTAAATACGACGTGAAATATTAGTTTTAAAAAAAATTAATATGACGTGAAATATTAGTTTTAAAATGAAAAATCAATATAACATGAAATATCTTAGTTGGCAAAAGATTCGAATGATGTCAGCATTAACATGTCAACTATACCCTTAAATAAACAAAAAGTTGGTAGAGACCCCTAAGGTAGCGTTTGGTACGGAGACGGGACGGGACAGGACAAGGCTAATTGTCTGACCTACGTTTGGTACGACTAGAACAAGACTGGACTAATTGTCTGTCATGCACTTGGCAAGCTGGACAAGACGAGACAAAACTATTAAAATGACTAGATTGCCCCTAAATATTGTTTAATGTTATTATTGATCAAATAATAAAGCTAATGCCAGTAAAATCTCACATGAACATCACCATCATAATATGCAAATGCTAAAATCTACAGCAATGGTGCTTTCTACTCACATGAACAAAACACTAATATGCA